TTTACTAACCGTAGCTTAAATGTAGCACAAGGCCGAAAGTATGGGACCCTCAGTGAGGATCGAACTAACTATTCAGTCGTAATTTATCTATCGAGATAAGCTTGTTACAAACTTCGACACCACGTCGAAGTGCTCCCTACTATACCTAAGTAATAACTCTTTACTATTAGTGAGCTTAAGAGTGCTTGAATATCTCACTATTCAATCGGATATCCATTCGTCAAATGAAAGTCAAAAAATGTGTATCTTCCCATTGTCGAAAGATTGGCGCAACACAATCTTCCTAAGCCTATTTCACCAAATTTGCTTTGTGCGAACTAAAATACGTCATCAGAATATGATGTTATTATTAAGTCAATCTGTAAATTTAACAATTACACAGTGGTACCTGGTGGTAATCGAATTCTACGTTTATTTCAAACTCAACATGTGTGCTGCCTTTTCAAATCTCAATTGTTAGCTCAAGGAATGGTGAACTTAAATGTCTCTTGTATATGATGGCTCGGTTACAGTGTTACCAATGACAAACTCGAGTCACAAAATACCATGCCCTCGAAAGAGGCAGGGGCCATATTTCATCTGTCATCCATGAATATACGAAGGTGTACTGAAAAGTATTCGACATAGCCAAGAAGGGATTCTAATAATTTTCTGATGCTTGGTTATTTCGTCAGATTTAATGAAGTGGGTCGAGTCAAGAACTTTTCAACACCCCATAGTAGGGGTAACAACCTATAGGTTGCTACTGTTGGGTAGGTAAGGTCGATATGAAAGAGTGATTTACCCAAGTGCTCACACTTAATCTCTTTACTGCGAGCTTTTGTGTGATGTCAAGAGAACAGAACGATAGAAGTGGATTCATGCTTTTCTACAGATAGAACATAATTCCCTCGTTTGAAATTCATCCATTTCGTTTTCCGCGATGGCCAGAGAGTAAACTTCTTTAGAGATGAACAAGTGGCAATACTACAGACCTTTACTGCTACGCTTTGTGATCAATGGGTTTTGTGGTATCGCTGTATACGTGTTTAAAGGGACTGTCTCGAAAGAAACGGTGAAAACTAGAGTTTACAATAATTTTTAATGTCAAATTATCCGAACTTTTGGGTAAGACAATGTATATGCCAAATTTACGGCGTCGTCATCGCCATGTTTGTCAGATGTTTCATTGTCGATTTTTCTCTTGTCTATCCAACTTAGTAAATAATTTTAGAGTTTTCTCATTGCTCCAGAGCAATTTGGCCGTTGACGAAATATATACCGGAAGAAATGAGCATGATACTATACTTGATACCGCAATAACTTCAAATTATGAATGTCTTAAGTAAAAATTTGGAGAATTCCATGTTATATTTCACCAAATGACGCTATCTTCTCTTAATACTTAATTCACACCAACTGCCACCGTGGAATGCAACTGGCGTATATATTCATTGCATTCCAGTGTACATATAACACTAGGAGAACGATAAATGTAATGTAAAAATAGCAGACGACAACAGACGCCATGTTAGCCTTTGTTCATCTTTGTCGCTACAACTGCAGTTTCTAGCTTTAGAAAACGGATAAAGTGTTGTTTTTAAACCCGGAGGGATTTTGGTGGTCTCTGCTGAATACCGCACTAAATTAGGAGAGCGAAAGCCGTCAGATAATTCACCATAATACTTCATCGTGATGTATTTCAAGGGCATCGTACAACCTTGCTTTGTTCTACTGTTACGAGTATTACTACATCGAAAAAATGCACTTTTTCACATAGGTTTGACATCAATTAGTTTTTTCATCTGTTATAGTTTTCTGAAATTTTAAAATCTATCATTTCCTTCATTAAACATATTTTTAATTTTTCCAACTTTTTTGTTTTCTTATCAGAACGTCGATTTAGTCGATTTATTCTTCTTCAGTTTTTTAATTAAATAAGACATCTGAAAGACTTCTATATGCCGGGTCTCTTCGAGACATTGGCAATCATGGCTCTCCACAGTTTCCTGTCCTTTGTAGCTCTTAATAAATTTTGTTATTTTACTATCTCTTCGAATCCCTGTTCTGCCAACCATTTACACAAACGCGCTACATAGGCTATGTGCTGTCATCCTCTTTCTCTTTTGCCTTCAACATATCCTTGTGAGTGTCAAAGTATTGATGCCTTCTTTCCTTATTATGTAATCTAAAAATTTCAAATTTTTCTTTCCATTTTCCTTAAAACTTTGTCGTTGTTTTCATCTTCAATTCATGGTATTCTCAGCATTCTTCTATAGAACAACATTTCTGTTGCTTTAAGTTTCTTGATATAGAAGGAAATTACTGGAAAGTAATTGAAACTCACCTGAAGTGAGCTGAATGTATAATGCTCCTCATGCCAATGACACTTCCACCGAGCTTCACTACGGCATATGACTTCACTGAATTTTGATGTGTTCCTTTCGAATTTTAAACTGGGGTCATCAGGAGAGAATGTGCACCGTTTCGGGGCCTTCCTCTCAACGGTTTCAGTTGCACACCGCCCCCCCCCTCACTGATGTGAGGCCCCATTATAACGATATATAAGTGTTGCAGATAAACTAGTTCAAATGTGTAACAGCGAAATTAAATTTACGAAAATTCCGAAAACCGGCAAACCTCGCGTTCTGAGAATGCAACGTGAACCTCATTACGCATTCACGATCAGACATGTTATGCCGTCATGTTCGCTGAAACACTCCACGGAGTATTTCGTTTTTTTCCATATCCACATAGAACTATTTTCTGTTACTTCTATTAGACGTTTTATACTCTTGGCCCTATTACGCCCTTTGATTTCAATTTGGCCCAGAAATTGGTACAGAGTGTCTGAAACGAAACCCCTTGCTCCAATTTCCACTGCTCTAACAATTGCATTATACCCCTCCTTTATTAGCTCTGACTTTAGATTTTCATATTTATTAGTTTTATAATCGTGGCTTTGTTCCATCCGGCATTCATATGGTACTGTTAACTCAACCAGGATGATTTTATGGTTCACCCTTGACAGAAGAACAATATCTGGTCGCAGACCTTTACTTGATATTATTTTGGGGTAATCATTACGCCAACCAGGAAGGTCTGCAGATACCTCCCAGATGCCACCAGAACTAAGGAGATTTTTTCCGGGTATAGCATGACATTTGCTTGTTTGCTTAGAGCCGACATATATGTATATCTGCCATTGACAAGGGCTGTTTTACAGGAACTAAGAACATGTTCTAATGTTTGTAGCTTTTCCTTACACAGGGGACAAGTAGGATCACTCTCTTTCTTCCATTTAACAAGATTGTTCTTAGATGGTAGCAGGTCATACGTGGAACGTATTAAATAGCTCAACCTGAGTGGAGCCATCTGCCAAATGTCCTTCCACGTAATAGATTTCTGAAGAGCCTCCTCCCAGTTTGTCCATTGGCCTTGTTGGGATTGTTGTACTCCTTCTACGAGTCTTTTTTTATCTTCTTCTTTCATCACATTTTGGATGACCATGTCACGGCGATCTTTACCAGAAGATTTCGACCACCATTGCTTTTCATTTAGCCCTAACCCTTGTTTCCCTGCTTGAGTTTATCCGATGACTTCATTGAAAGCTAGATTGTCTTTAGCACTTGTTATCGTCCCTCTGGCCTTCCACTTTCTCCCTGTTTTTAACGTAGGCTTTAAAGTTTTTATTGCTTTATCCTTGGAGTCATCCAACATCATTTGAAGTCTAATTTTTCCGGATTTATACTCTTCCACAATCGATTTAAATGACAACTTTAGCTTTGCTTGTCTGCAGTACAATGCGATATCAGACAAACCTGGAGGCAAACCCAACCATTTTCGGATATATTTGTTTATTTTCCTTTCCATTGACTCAATTGTACTCATTCCAAATTCGTACACAAGTATGGGCCATAGTAGCTTTGGAATGAGCACATGCTCTAAGCACCATACCTTGTATTTTCCTTTTCGAGGACAAAGATCTATCTTATGGAGATCTTCTTGTAATGACCTGGATGTTTCTTTTACTTGGTTGGTATCTTTTAAGGATTGATCGTACCACCGACCTAAACTTTTCACTGATTTTTCTGATACCGTAGGGATTCTTTGGCCACCTACTACAAAATTTATGTTTTTGTTCAACTTTCCTTTTCTAAGAGAAAGACTTCTGGACTTGTTTGGTTTAAATTTCATCCTCCACCAACTTATCAGGTCGTCCATCAAGCTTAATATCTTGCGAGTTGAACTTACTTTGGATGAAAGGATTGTAGTGTCATCCATGAACGCTTTCACTTGTTGCATTTGACAACCTCCACCAAGATCAACAACATCATCCTTGTTGTTTGTCGCTTTGAGAATCAGTTCCATTGCTAGAACGAAAATATTGGTGACACTGTACATCCCATCGCAATTCCAACTTCAAGTCTGTTCAACTTAGTCGTAAAGTCTTTTGTAGTGAAACGCATGAGGAAACCATCAAAATAAGTTCCTAGCATAATAGATATTTCCTCAGGAATATGGTACATATTTTTGCCGACGCGTTTGGTAACTAAAAAAACATTTCGCTTTTACACTTGCCTTGATAATGTCGGGTTGACGAAACGCGTCGGCAATGACTAAGAAATATATTTTCCAATTGTCTTCGTTTTATCCAAATTATCTTACCTTCAGAATTATCCTGACAAATTTAACAATATGGCGACATGGAAAACTAAAACAAATTCTTAGTTAAAAAAGTTACCAATATCCAGAAGGAGACTTACACAAGAACGTTCCCGTTTTAATATTTTGAATTTAATGTAACTAAAAAACATTTCGCTTTTACACTTGCCTTGATAAAGTCGGATTGACAAAACGCATCAGCAATGACTAAGAAATATATTTTCCAATTGTTTTCTTGTTATCTAAAACAGTTTTAGTAAACTGATGCATATTCAACAATGACGAACCTTCAAGTTATGATATGTGAATTCCATTTTCATCTTGTTCATTATTTTCTATTACTTCTGAATTGCAGTTTAAGTTAATGACAGATAGATAGATAGATAGATAGATAGATAGATAGATAGATAGATAGATAGATATGAACAAAATGAGATAGATAGGAACAAACTGAAATAGATAGATAGATAGATAGATAGATAGATAGATAGATAGATAGATAGATAGAAAGAAAGAAAATGAAAAGAGATAGATAGATAGATAGATAGATAGATAGATAGATAGATAGATAGATATGAACAAACTGAAAGAAAGAAAGAAAGATTTGCGTTTTTTGTCGTCATCTGCTTTGCAAAGCCGACATTTTTGTAAAATGAAGGCAGATGCTACTTCGCTCGCAAAGCAGATTTTTATTTTTGAACGCTCATTTATTTAGAAAGAATGCAGTTTTATTATTATTATTAGAATTGTGTTTTATTATTACTATTCTTTTATTATAAATAGATTTAGCTAACAGCTGAAAACCTTAACAGCATAACTAACAATAGATAGGAGTATCTGATGTATATGCTTGCATACATGACCGGTTTATAAGAAGTAAAACTGTTTTATTTTTTTCTCTCTGACAATTGTTGGCAATACAGCAATTATAGAAGAGTGGTTTGCCCAAGTGTTAATTCCCTCAATTTCTTAAGTGAGTGAATTAAATAAAATATTGTGGCATACCAGTGACGAAAAATATTGCGACATACCAGTGAGGAAACATTCTGCCAATATATCTGGCGATAGATCAGAGTACGGGAGGAATGGATTTGTGTCTTCTCGAAAGACATTCATGTTAAGTTGATACGTGCAGCCACAGTGGAGATACGAAGTCTTCTCGCTGATTTCGTTTTCTATTCTGCACTTCTCACATACATACATACTAGGATAGCTAGCTAGAGAGATAATGAACAGACTGCGATAGATAGATAGATAGATAGATAGATAGATAGATAGATAGATAGATAGATAGATAGATAGATAGATATCAACAGAAAATATTGTAAATGTTCGTCTATATATTTTACTCATAGTCTGATGGGTCTACTTTCGCATCCATGCCCTTTGGAAAGGCACATATCCGTCTCTTCTCCTTACCTCATCTCAGCTGTTGGTAAAATAGGAAGGAAGATCTAGCCTTGGGTTACATCCAGTCTATTAGAACGACAATTCTGAATTCAAAAGAAAGAAAGAAAGAAAGAAAGAAAGAAAGAAAGAAAGAAAGAAAGAAAGAAAATGACGATCGAAATGATCTCTTGGTGGAAATGGTGATGATCATGAAGAATGACAAATAATGATGATGATGATGATGATGATGATGATGATGATGATGGTGGTGGTGGTGGTGGTTGTGGAAGTGGCCGTAATTCTTATGAATCCTGATAATGTGGTGAAGAGGGAAGAAATTAGTTGGAAGGTTAGTGGGGCAGAAGAGGGCAAATAGGAGGGTAAAACCGGATGGCATACTTCATTTAATAAACTTCAAAATCCAACCACATCCCTAGGGAATTTCCTGACAAAATCTTGAAAAACGTGGGAGGAAGAAAGAAAAGAAAATGTATACATCCGTCAAAATGAGAAATGCCAATCTGTTCTCGAAAAGAACTCTTTCTCGTAATGAAGACGGGATTTTAGCAAAGGAGCGTAACATTTTACGTCCTATCACGATTTGTTGGGATAGGGAAAAAGAGGGAACATCCCTAAACATGACTGCGTTCTTAATATCTATATTCGTGCTGTCAGCTGTCAAAATCCGAAGTGACCAATCAAAATATGATAATCACTTCAAGCGGGTGAATAAGTGTGACGACATCCTGAAGACTGACAACATTTAAAATGTTTCTCTGGTTTCAGCTATTATTTTTTAGGGTTTTTTTATATTTTTGGTTAGATAAAAGAAGTTCAACAGATATTTCTACTCTGTTCAATATTAATACGTTTTTATAAACATCAGGCAACGCTCAGGGCCCCTATTAGCAGATGTTACCGTATGTTTGTGCACAGAGTTATATGCGTGCGATTGTGAAGGACATGTCCGTTCGTCTTGTATATAAAGCTGTTCTGATGCCTATGAGTTTTTTTTTCTTCTGGCTGATTCAAAATAATATGTCTTAACTAAGTCTGGCTCAAGGCTGCATTAGTGTACGTTCTGGGACAAACTGAAGAAGGTAAGTGATATGTGTTCATGTGTAGATAAAATAACAATTAAGTCGGATAGCAGGCCCGTCACCAGGTGGCGTATGTGGGAATATACAGCCTAGCCCCCATGAAAATGATATGAACCAATTTTAGTGTGCAAATTCTTATTTGTTACCCCCCATCACACCATCCGAATTAAAGGCCGACCCCAACTTAAAACGATGGCGATGGGCCTGTCTGATACAAAGCTTTAATAGTAAGAGCCTAGCCAGAATAAGCTGGGATACAAACTTATTTAGTAAATGTTTATCGGATTTAAGGATATATAAAACCCAACCTTTTCCATAGCCTCACCAAAATGACTAAAACATCTCCCGAATTTGAGGTATCTGATATGCAAATGTTTACCCAAGCGCCGTAGACTAAAAGTAGATTTATACCATTTTATTGTATGAATGGGTGCTAACCAAGAAACCCTTCCAAAAATAATTCTGTTGTTTGGTCATTTGGACAGGTTTTGAACAGGTGTGATCCGGGCTAAGAATTTTTAGATGTCCCTTTATAATATTAAAAGTAAATAACTAGCAGCTAACCACCGTACTACAACAGAAACTCAGAACATGTATGCGCATGCGAATGTGTACCCCCAATCTATGATATGTCCCCCAAACGATGATACGGGCCCCATTCTGCTACATCTCACATAGTTATAAGTTAGTATTCATATAAAATACAAATTTTATTGTAACCTACTTATGTACAATAATGGATCATATGCAATAAAAGTGATCAATTGAATTAGAAAAAAATTAAAATAAATACAATGTATTTAAGTACAAATCAATCATGTCATATTCCATCATAAATAAATCAACAATGGTTTGCGGCGATTTTTAACATCAACTTGAGAGTTTGCCTGTTAAAAAGTTGATTAATTTTAGAACATTCAACATTAGGGATAAAAAAATAGTGAATTTTATATCGTGGTTTTTTGGAGCCTTAGCCTGAGCAAAACAAATTTACTAATTTGGACGAAATAAGAATGACCCGTGAAAATCTTTCATCCTTTAATAGTAGTTTGTGTTTAGTTTAATTTGTAAATACAGATAGAAAAAGGTAAGTCCTGATAAAATAGCGAGGATTACAAAACACTTTCCCAGGGTCCCCAACGATGCCCGCCAGCCGTGGGGTCGATGGTAGTACGCATCAGCCTTGTAGGGCGGGGGATTGATTCTACATGCGTGACTGCGATTAGGAGTAAATTTACAACATCAGACAAACCTTTGGTCCTTCACCAACGAAGATTACCAATAATAATAATAATTAAAAGGGAGACTTTGTTCGGGCTCACTCTGATAATAACGATCCGATTTTTGTGTATTCGTTACAAAATCTAAAAAAAAAATTCTTATCAACATTAAAAAACGAATTGAAAAAATTAGTAACTGCAGCATAAAATAATGATGCCCATAAAAAGAAATATTTTTACATAATGATCCGATTTCTGTATTTTGTGTTAGTTAATGTAATAAAAAAAAACGGTACATCGTAGCGCTAATTTCTTGCGCAAACCTGTTGAAATAGAGAATAAAGCGATTTCCATTTGAATAATGCAACATAATAATACGCGGTCTGCATTCGTACTAATCCCAACTAATACTATTACTCAAAGGAAATAATTTCAGATCTATTAAAGGCTATGTCGTAGTTTCCTTTTCATTGACAAATTTATTACATATCTTCTACCGATTTTCCGTCACCTTTAGTTCCAGAATTATGCCGGATCATCCGTTATACCGGACCAACAGAACTCACATGATAACAATCGAATAATACATCTTTGACCCACTTGCTTCTCCCGTATCACTACAGCATGATTGACTGTTAGCAACTTATATTAAATTCGTGCCATATACAAAACCACCTGTTAAGTTTTATACTTGCTTGTCATTTTGTCCGGATGAAAAGATGTGATGGCTCATCAGTTGCTGGAAAACCGGAGATGCACATGTATAATATAAATTCTATAAATATGAAGTGACCTACCATCGACCTTAATGGCCACCGATGAGGGCCTTTAAGAAAGTATATCTTTAAAGTAAAATCGTATTTGCTGTGCGTTAACATTAAATTTGGTAAGTCTAAAATTTACCTGTACCTGTAACGGCATTCACCCGAGGTGGGTTGAGCCGGCTCCAATATTGGAATTTTATGGGAATTTGGAATTCACAAGCGATCCCCAACCGCATGTATAGCACATGAGATTTGATTATAGTGGTGAAGGTTTCGTGCAGGACCATCCATACTTTTTGAAGGGCCGATAACAGAGACCTGGTGCACCGAATGCCACAAGGTTCCCAAACGACCCTCCGCAGGTTTTGAGTTTTTCCTTCTCCTAGACCAGTTGCCATCCAAGGCTATAGAACCCAGTCTGTCCTGCTATTTACCCATAGCTGGAGGGAGAAGAAGAGAATTCACACCTTTCCTTTAGCACGTAAGTGAATGTAATGGATTCGACTGGAATTCAAACTCGGCTCTCCGATTCCTCAATCCAAGCCGCTATCCATTACTCCACTGTGCCTCCTCACAGTCTAAAAATTGACACGTGCTCTTAAGATAGTCCTGATGAAAGAAGTATTCAGCCTTGCCGTCAAGTCGGATGATGCGTTTGGTCGCCATATGTAACGGATAGCATTTAACGCTGCCATAAATAGTTATCAGTTATTATAACTTCTTATAACACCTGCGAAATAGCATTTCATAACATTACAGTTTCAATGCATAAGCATGTGAAAAGAAATTAATCATTGGTTATTAATTCATCTTGTTATATTCGGAATCTTTTATCCGTTCTTGAAGGCGGATGTAAAATTTCTTTTATTCTTTATCTTTTAAGCAAAAACATACACACATATGCATGGACATATTCACATATTTACAAAAATGCACATACATCGATATATACATAAAATACACATACACGTAAACACACATACATACATAAATAAAACAGATACAGATATGTATAAATGCTCACATGCAAATGAATAAATACACATGCATAAACATACGCATATACATAAACACACTTACGCACACAAATAAACACATATTCCCATATGCATAAGCACGCATACACATAGAGAAATACAAACATATGTATAAATACACATATAAATGAACATGTACACATATGCATAAATACATATATACATGAATTGATATACAAATATACATAAATACAGACATGCTTAAACGCATATACATACACAGAGATATGCACATACGCTTAAGCACACGTACACAACCATACGCAAACATATGCAAACACACATATACACACAATCACGTTTAAATAAATATATGCACAAAAAACTTACGTAAGACCGAATAACAAGATATCTGTTCAAACATACGCGAGTTTTCTCAAAACCTGAGGCCTTGTGCCAGACTGAACTAAGTAAATATCGCTGACTTGCTATGGACACAAGTGTTAGTAAGCTAGTTTCGCTGGCAATTACTCCTGTGGTGAATCCGATTCACAACTAATTTAAACAATGTTTAATAAATATCCGTAATAAAATTCTCTTCGCTGTAGCGCAGTGGTTAACAAGATAATCTCGCAAACCATTGCTACTGTAATGATCCTACTTGGATACCCCTGTGGCCTTGTACCAGACTAAGGTGAGCATAGTAAATATGGGCACTTTTGTGCAGCAATGAATAGCAAGCTAGTGTAGTAGACTATTACAACTATGTGGTGAGTTAGATCCTCATAGGGTGCCACACAACTTTAGGTTGTACTAATCTAAGTATTATAAAGTTACTCTGTTATAGAGCAGTTCTGGGTAAGGCTGTAAACTAGTTTACATTTAATTTTACAGCATTATGGAGCCAAGCTTAGAAAATTTACTAGTAATCTATGTTGTCTATCAAACACCTCACTTTCACATATAAGACATTGGAGATGTTTTTTTAATCAGTTTTTTGGAGAGAAAAAACGGAAGTCTTATATTCTATGAAATATGGTAGTTATTTCTCTGAATCATCAAAAAAGCATGTTTGTAATTGTTGAAACTTGACTAATGCATGGAATAATAATGCAACACAAAATGTACTTAGAACAAAATGTATTGAAACAAGAAAGTGTACACAATATTTACATATAGTCTTTTGTATATTCCTGGTAAGACCGTTCCTGGAGAATGTGTTGACTGAGTCGCCGTCGGGCAGAGTCTCTGGTTGAATCTCTTGATTCCTCCCTCTCTTCCCGGTACCAACCATATTATATGCAAATTAGGTGTATCCTACCACAACAGTAATACATAATGTTAAATTTTATCAAACTGAATTTACATGTATATTGATTCTTTCTTTCTTGACGCCCACATTTTAACATGACTGAATTATTTTAATGCTCTTCAAAAAAAAGATATTATCTACGCGATCAAATAAAAATCTTTCACTGTGCCATTGTTCCTACTCTGTCATACATGTTGTGGAGGATCCATCATTTTGAGCTGAATGGAGATCAAATAGAAAAATATGATGTAAAACATTGTTGGTCAT